GAATTTAGTTAGCAGACAAACTAGCAGATGTGGAAAACAATGTATCTCTGAAAGTAATCTTGGCAAGTTATAAAATGTCTCAAGACTGGGAACAAGGTCATCTGGGGAATAGCTCAGTGGGAATTACCATGTGGGAGGTCCTAGAGTCAACCCTCAACACTGAAAGAAAAACAAAACAAACAACAGAGTGGAGACTGAGTTACTGAGTATTTACGTGGAGGGATGACTACATCGCTACACACTTACATATGGGATCCTAGGCAACCAATAGTTAAAAGGCAGATCTCCAAATACTGAGTACCACTAAAGAAAGATGTGGATAAACAAGATGCTGCCTTGGAGGGCAGGGCCAGGGCATCCTGTTTCTGTGTAAAGGGCCTCTGGGAGGATATAAAGAGCACAGGCGATGCATCACGTTCGGGGAGAGCTAGACAGATGGGAGACCAGGGAGGGATGGAAACAGAAAACTGTTGCGTTAAGTGTAATCTCTCCCAAAGTTTAACTTATTACTTAAAGAAAATAAAGTAATAGATCTGATAGAACCAAGGAATTCCAGGAAGCTTGTGGTTTAAAGAACCAGAAGGAACTTAAGGTCTTGTCTTCATCCTTGCAACAAACTGTGAAATTGTTAAGCTTCTGTAACTGGTCACTGGCCTGTTTAACAAGGTTCTGTTCATATGGGGAAGTCACAGATCCCAGGCAATGAGAAGTGAAGGATGGAAGTGCTTATCCTTTGGCTGTTAGCAATGGAAATTACTCTCACTGATGGGAGGAAAGGTTACGGAATCATGACTAATACTGAACCATCTCTAAAAGCTGCTCATCTTCAATACGTCGGCTTTGTTGCATGCCTCAGTGTCTTGGGGTGTATAGTATTTAAGTAGGGAAGACCCCCACATCATTTCTCTGATGGTCACTTATTTATAATACTTTGTACTTTGATCACAAAATGTTTTCAATGAACTTTGCACACAGAGTATGACCAGCAAGGGAGAATAGCTTTCAGTCTTTCTACTGAACCATGGAAGGGGTGTGTGTGTGGTATTTGTTAGAAAAGCCTGTGGTGGCAGATGGCACGGTAACCACTTAAAATTCCATGGCACAATGATGCAATTGTAGAGTAAGATAGGGTTGGATGAAAAGAGAGAAAAATTTTAATACATACTTCTGTACCATAATTTATTTGAATGCATTATGAACTCATTTGCCTCCTCTGCCACAGTGTGAGAGGTTGTCATTTTTTGTTTTTTCATCTTCAGTTCTAGGACTAGTGTGTATGAGGTATTTTAGAGTCTGTGGATTGAAAAACAGATGTTCAAAGCGAACTGTCTAAAATGGTAGTTTTTTTTTTTTTTTTTTTCTTTAATCAAGGTAAAGACCCTCCCAAGCATGTAAAAGTTGTTAATAATTTCAGGGCAGTCATGGGAAGTACCCTCTGCCTTATTCTTAGATCCTCAAACAATCCAGAAACTCTAGATTAAGAAGCTATGAGGTTTAGGGGTTGGGTATGTGGCTCAGCAATAGTGCACTTGTTGGTCTTACATACATGAAGTGTGCTAGCATGTTTTATGTCCACTAAACACAACTTAATATTTTGAAACACCGGAACCTCAATTGACAAAATGCCTCCAAACATTGGGCTGCAGGCAAGCGTGGAGGACATTTTCCTAATTAGTGATTGATGTGGGAGGGCCCAGCCCACTGTGGGTGGTTCCATCCCTGGGCTGGTGGTTCTGGATTCTATAAGAAAGCAGGCTAAGCAAGCCATGAGGGGCAAGCCAGTAAGTAACACCCCTCCATGGCCTCTGCATCAGCTCTTGCCTCCAGGTTCCTGCCCTTCTAGAGTTGCTGTCCTGACTTCCCTATGAAAAGTTTCTACACCTCATAAGCCTCTCTGCCAAAGCAGCAATCTAAGTCAGACCAGACCAAACCAAACTAGAAAAAGCCCAGGTTTAAGGGATAAGACACTCCGGGATGGCTTTCCAGCTCCTGCACCCCCATGGCACATGTAATGTGTGTATCATGAATAAGTAAGTGACCAGTGTCTTATACTGCGGTTCTTATATTCAAACTTTAAGTTGAATAACAGAAAAGCAAAGCAGCTGGCCACTAGCTCTCACTGCTAGCTCAGGCTGAAAGGGCTGGTCCACGCATGAGCTCTTCACTAAGTCTCAAACTGCTGCCTCTCCTCAGTGTGGCTGGAGAACAAATCCCTCTCTCAGACCTTGCTTCTATCTTATATACTCCCCTAATGTTGAAATTAAAGGTGTGAGCTATAATTTTCTTTTAGACTGATTCACTCTTGTGTAGATCTGGGTGGCCTTGGATTTATCTCTTAATCCTGAGGCCTAGGATTAAAAGTGTGAACAACCACCTCCTAGCTTCTGGCTGCTGGGATTAAAGATGTGTGCCTGGCTTCTATGGCTTGTGGCTGACTTTGCTTTCTGAATCCTCAGGTAAGCATTAATAAATCATAAACAATACATTACCACAAATCCCCTTTTTTGTCTAATACAAAAAGGCTACAACTAACATAAGAAAAACTATATACAATAAGGACAATAAGCATATACAATATATATAGGCAATAAATTTGTCAACAATGTCTAGTCCATTTGCATTTGACAAATTCAGAAAAAAATACTTCATTAACTACTCTATCTTGGTGAGTCCACAGTCTTGTGCCTAATTTACTTTCTATTCTAATTTGCACTATCAAATTATCTTTCAGTGTCTTTCAGACGTTTACACTTTACACCTCTTTAGTGAGTTTCCTTTCTGAGTCTGGTAAATGATGAAAACTGTAACTATACTATCTAGTCTTCAACTCCCTCAGACACCCAAGAAGGAAATGATATTGAGTGAACAGGAAGTGCAATCAAGCCACTTCCAAAAAAGGGTAAGAAATGGCAAAAACAGCTGGCTGCCTGAAAAGTCACCCAACCTTGGATTTCTTGCTTTTAGCTAAAGGACTTGGAAATCTCTCCATACTCAACAGCCAGGAATCTATGATACGCTTGGCAAAGTCGTAGCTCTCAGTCACAAAGGTGTCATGTCAAAGAGATACCGAAGACCCTCGAGGGAGTCAGTGAACTTTCTTGAGCACACATCCTCTCTGAGGACAAATGCTGAGACACTGGATCACAGGAAGAAATGGGAAATCATGGGAACAAATGTAGGCCAGTCTCTGGGTAGCAGGAAACAGCAAATAGAAAAGGCGTTGGTTAGAGAACAGAGGAAGAACATTGCTGAACCGGTGTGCTGAACATGTATTTTATGAGGAAACAATATCCAGAATTCAACTAAATAAAAACCCAAGCAATATGATGGCACCCACCCGTAAGCACAACACTGGGTGGCTGAATGCTGAGACACTGTGTCCTTGTGCTCTTGTAAATACAAGCTTTAACATTCAAACACAAAAGCAACGTGACTTTGTTCTCATGGACAATGATCTAACTTTATTGTGTGCAGTCTTTTTTTTTTTTTTTAATATACACCAACTATTAGCTTTTCCAAGTGAAATAAGACTTATGATAAAGTTATTCTGAAGGAGACACAGAAAAAGCTGGAAAGGTTTTTTCTTTTGTCTGAAAGTGGAAAACAAAAGTTGGGGAAGGGGGTGGGCAAAGATACAGAAGATTCCAGAGATTTCTAAGACCACCATGAAAACAGCTGGGGAGAGCAGAATACTCGCCCAGCATGGGTGAAGAAGCCATGCACCAGACTGCAGAAAAAGGGGCTTCCCTCCTGGGTGCAGGTCCTTGACATTCCGTGCTGTGTATCTTTATTACACAGCATAACATTTTATTTAACACAAAGTCCACTTGGCCTAGAGGGCAGTAGGTTTCTAACTTTATCCCTAGCCAGCAAAGTCACCTCTCACAAATGACTCAAAGAACCTGCATGGCCCATTCTCAGTTCATTTACATTGGCTTCTCAGGCTCCTGCTTGGTTTCCTTTTTGAGTAGACTCCCAGAGCTAAAATAAGTGGTGTGAGCTTACCAGTCTGCTGCTGAATTGGAAATTTAGGCCCCAGTTAAAAAAAAAAAAAAAAAAAAAAAAAAAAAAAAGCTACAGATCTGGAGGTTCACTTCAAAATCACCTTATGAGGCAGGTTACTGAGGAGCTTTTCCCCACAGCTCATTTGCCCAGGTAACACCAGGGAGCAATTGTTCTCAAATGCTCCATTCCAACCCACCTCTCCTGGAGTTTTTTTTTTAAAGCTCTTAGCTTCGCTCTGTTGTTTCTCCACTCAGCACTTTAACACACATCTCCCTGCTACTCCAGGGAGGTGGTCAGTAAGGGAGGCAAAGGCACAATCCCTTGTTAGAAACACACGGGAACCGAGCTGAGAACGGAGCTGAATGTGACGCCTCACACCTGCAATCCCCAGGCTTGGGAGGCTGAGGCAGGGGAATTACCATGAGTTCCAGGCTCCTCTGGCTCCATGGTGAGATGCTCCCTGAAATTAACAAAATAAAAAGAAACAAATACAGGGCAAGAATAAAAGAAACACGAGAATCCCAAAGGAGTCTGGGATTGCTCTGCTGTTCTTACTTGTGGCCGCAAGCGAAGACTTGACATCTCTGATGTGGAAGTACAATTGATAGGGCTTCCAGGACAAGACACAAAACTTGTACACGTTAGGCCAGTTAAAACTAAATTAAAACAATGTCACTGAGCTTTAGGAAAAAAAAAAAAAACAACCCAGCCCAGATCTAAGTGGAGAAACATGAAAGCATGACAGAAAGCTGACTCAGTAAGCCCACTGTACGAAAGATAAACGGATTACTGAGGCATCGTCCACTGGCCTTGAGACCAGCAGGCAAAGGGCAGCTGACACTTAGCCCTGAGGCAGAGGGTCAAAGTTGACAAAGGGCTCCGAGGGAATATTTACCAGAATGTGATGATTCATTTCTCAGTCCAGAAATCTCAAGTATGAAACTCCAAGATATAAGAAGGATCAAATTATATCATGTTTATGATTCAATTAAAAATTCTTAGCCCTCTTACATTATATTATCTAGATTATAATAGTAAAAAAATCAAATTACATTCATATGAAACTTTTATCAAAAGAAATCAAATCCATTTTATGAAATTTTATAGTACAATTATTTTTAGTGGGTCTTTTCTTAGGTCACAGTATTTATAATTGCATTTACAGCTGTATAATTTTTAAAATTGAAAAACAAAAGCAAATCAATAGAAATCTAAGTTTTCATTTGTAAAACTGCCTTCGGTCTCCAGGCTAGCACCACATGGCGGGTTGATTTGTCCTCCAGACATGGATGGCTCCCAGGATCCGGGGTCTAGGAAGCATTCAGGCCCCGACTCATTAGAAATGCTTTTTGGTTTGGCTCACGTTGCAAGAAATTCTGGAGCATGTCCATGCCGTCCAGAGATCCCCCAGGTTTCAGGATTAGGTTTCTGTACTTCATTCCAACCTAATAAAAGAAAACATCATGCCTAATAATTCACGGGCCTAGCAATCCTCCAAATCCCTAGGCGTAAGGGAGAAGGGGCGAGGATGAGGAAAAGGAGCTTCAGTTTTGCTCGCTCTTGACATTCTTTGGGCTGACACGGCAGCTCCAGCCTTCCTTTCTGTAGTTAAGAATTTGGGTCTTCTACCCTGTCCACCACTACTGTCTTGTGTCCTTGGATTCCCAACTGTGAGCCAATAGCACAGGCAAGCAGGCACACCAAATACCCAAAGGGAATACCGTTTGCCACTGCCTGTTAGCCCATTTCCAAACGGGACGGTAGCAGAGCAAGGGGTTCCAGAGGCTAAATCAGCTCTGGGCAGTCTGAAGCAGGAGCTCGGGTACTGCTGAATGGCTTCAGGTATTATTATAAGAGGCTCATGAAACACTCTCTCTCTCTCTCTCTCTCTCTCTCTCCAAAGCCCCCACAAAGAAACACAACTGAGCTTTTTAGGAGTGGTCAAATGACAAGCATTCTGAGGGGGTCAGAAGTCTTTGGGGATGGCAGTCTGGAATTTTAAAACAAACCAGTTCCTCTGCTTTTATTTACACAAACACAGCAGGTAAGGAAAGTAAATAGCTGCTACTCAGCAACACATCAGCATCCTTAGGGTTGCTGTCACATTCTTCCTTTGTCCTTGTAATGAATCCAATGAGTCCTACGAAATAAGCGGGCACCACCCACGAGTATATTTATTATGTGATCTGATCAATAGGACCTACAACTTTTTTTGGGTTCAGAAGATTTAGAGAATCCAGAGACAAAGACAGAAAACAAGATCCTGCTTGTGGCAACCATGAGACTTATTATGTAAAATAAAACATGAGTGAAATCCACTAAGTTAGACAAAGGCAAACCTATCTGATGCCTTACAAGAGCCATGAAATAAAAAAAAAAAAAAAAAAAAAAAAAAAAAAAAAAACAGATGAAATCTTTGGGGTTGTCTTCTGTGCATAAGCAGGAATCACTCAAAACTTCCAAATCGTTTAGCACAGCGGGTTCTCAGTCCTCTTAAGGCTGTGACCCTTGAATACAGTTCCTCATGCTGTGCTGACCCCAACCATGACATTATAACCGTTGCTACTTCGTAATTGTAATTTGCTACTGTTAAGAATTGTAATATAAATAAACACCTGTGTTTTCTGACAGCCTTAGGTGACCCCTGTGAAAGGGTCATTTGCCCAATCTTTTGATGCTATGACAGGTTGCTGACATTTATAAAGTTTACAGCTGAGAACCCTCAATGGCATTACCAGAAAAAAAACCAAAAGCACCCCTCCTCCAAAAGAAACATTTTAGGTAAGTTGATGATTCTGTTTTGGGCTGTCTTATAAATTCCTAGCTATTCTCAGATACATGCAGCCTAGTATACGGAGCTGGACATGGCTGACACAAACTCAGTCAATAGTGTAAATTCTAGTTAGGAATAAGCAATTAAACCTAGTGTTTGCTAAATGCTCAGGTAGCAAGACCAATAGGATTATGAAGCACACATTTAAATTTAAAGTTTCCATCAACAACATATAAAAATGTTTAGAATATGAAATTAGTATTTTTGGGTCTCAAGCTGGCCTCAGACTTGCTATGCCGCGGGGATGACCGTGGCCCTCTGACCCTTCTGTCTTTACCTCCTAAGTGCTGGGATTCCAGGTACAAGCCACTATTCCCAGTTTATACAGTGCTGGGGATTGATGCAGGCCATGTGGAGGCCAGGCAAGTACCCTACCAACTGAGCTACACTCCAGCCTCATGAAATTAAGAAATATTTGCTTAAACATTACAAGCAAGGCACTGTGGTGCGCACCCTGTACTCCATGCTATCTGGGAGACTGGGGTGGGGTGGTCCTCTGAATTCCATCCTAACCATGATGGTATGATTTCAACATGTACAATCTCTTACAGACCAGTGAGTTGGCTCTTGTTGTTTTGTTTTACAAAACTCAAATGATGCTGCTGATGTTGCTACGGTAGGCTTAGATTCAGGGCTCGGAGCACGTGGCGTTAAGGAGTGTGTGAAAATGGGTTAGCAGGGTACCAAGAAGGCACACAGCACTCTTGCTGCTTTATTTCTAATGCGTTAAGAGTCTGGCTGGGTTCAATCTCAGCACTCAGCACTCAGAAGGCAGAGGCAGGCGGATCTCTGTGAGTTCAAGGCCAGTTTGATCTACGGAGTGAGATCCAGGATAGTTACGGCTACACAGAGAAACCCTGTCTCAAACAAACGAACAAGAAACAGAGTCCACTTGCCACCCACAGCTATTGAACTTCGTGGTCACACTGTGCCAATGAGGACTTGGAGCTGAGTTTAGTTGGTGTCATTTGAGGCAGAGGACAAAACATTAACAACTAAATTTTTTTTTCCTTACATGGTCTACACCATTCTACCAGTAATCAACACTCTAAACTACGCCTGGCTGCTCTTGTCATAGACTTCATCATTCTAGCGCCCCCTCAGTCCACACACACACTCCCCTCCCTCACTGCTCAGTGTGTTTGCGTCTGACCAGTGTTAAATGGCTGTGTGGAGAACAGAGCCCATGCTCTTTGGGAACAGCAGTGTGGCACCGCCACAGACAATGGAAGTTAGTTTATAGAATTAGGAAAATATTAAAAACCCTGTATTAAGGAAAACAAAATATGTACTAATAGAACAGTTCAATAAACCCTCAGGTATCTATCACCCAACCTTGGTGAAAACAAGCCTTGAGATGGCAAGCATCACCACTGTGCCTGGCTTATGCAGTTCTTGGGATCATGTTCCCAGGTCTCTGAATGCAGGGCAAGCATTCACCCACCTGAGCTACATCTCCAACTGCCCTTATTATTACTGTTAGTATTTCTGAGATAGGAACTACATAGTACAACTTGGTCTCCAATTCTTAAGCTCCTTCCTCAGCCTGCCAAGAACTGAGATTACAGGTGTGTCTCTCACACCTGTCAATAATTAGTATTTTCTCACAAACATTCCATGTTCAAGTGCTGCATATTTTTTTTTTAAATATTCCTTTGATCCCAGTACAATCAGGCAGATAATCTGAGTTTGAAGCCAGCCTGATCTACACAGCAAGTTTTAGGTCAGCCAAGGCTCTGTGTGTGTGTGTGTGTGTGTGTGTGTGTGTGTGTGTGTAAAGACTCAAGACTGCCTTAAAAACAACAATAACAAAAACAATAAAACAAACAAAGGCATTTGTACTTCGAATATTACAGAGAAAGAACAAACCATTAAAGATACAGCCCAAGATGCATCATCTGACAAAGTGCTCCACCAACTGCTGTGAATTTGGTGGGGAAGCTCAGTGGGAAGGCAGAGGAAGCACTGGAGGCTTCCACAAAGCTGTGGAGAGATGGGGCGGCCCTGCGGCCTGCAGAGCCGAGCCAGAGCAGAGCACTGTTCAGTGTCAGCACTCAGTTCAGCACAAGGCAGTCTTCCTCGGCTTATGCCTCCAAACAAGCTGATTCAATTTCCTCAATTATCAAGCAATGGTCTTTTAAGAGTTCCATTTCCCTTACGATGAAGCTCTGACAAGAGTTTAAGAACCATTTTGGTCACAGGACCTAGCTTTTGTTAAGAAAAACAAAACAAAACACCAAAATTCAAAACCCAAACCAAAGCGACAAACTGGGCAGTTAGGGAATCTTTGTGAGAAGCAGGGTTGGGTGAAGTCCGCCACAGGTGGGAGGGATGTGGGCCCTCGGCCAATCAGTGGTGTTTACACAGTAAAGGAATCCGAACTGTCAGGGAGGCAGGAAGGGAAACTCTGACATTTGAAGCCAGTGGCATCTGGGAGACTGCACACACTCAGATCCTAACTGCTCTCCCCTGAAGGGAAATCAATCAGTTGCCACTGAGGTTTAGTACCTTGGAAGAGCAGCAGGGATCTTAAGGCACTTTGCGAGCCTTTTCTAACCCTGAGGATTTCGGAGGCAAGGTTAGGAGCTCTGGAGTCAGGTCCAGGCCTGAACCCAGGCTTGATACATTAGCTTCATAATTTTTGGCCTTGGTTTCCTTATCTGTAAAATGGGAATACGCTGCCCTTATATTTTTCAAGCTATTAGACACACAGTGAGATTTGATAACTCTTATCCATGTCCCTCCATCCTCCAAGGGCACTCACTTATTTATGTTCATGGAAATAACTACATTCTCACTTTGACATTTCCTTAAAATTACTTCTGCCTTCTAATCAAGCACAAGAAAGCCCAAGAAACTTCACCTTCACTCTCGGTGAGGGAGAAAATAATAGCAGGAGAGAGAAGGCCCTTATTTTTGGAGGCAATATTTTAATGGCAAATGTAATTATCCTATGCAGGATGCTCGTCACCTGTCAGTAACGGGAACATGGGAAGGGGAGAGGACAGGCTCCTTCTGGCTTTGGATCCTGGAGGCAGCACACACGGCAGCCCTCTCATGGCCCTTCAACCCAGCCTTCCGAGAGCAGAGGCAGGCTTGTGGCCTTCCAATGTGGAGCAGAGTGAGTGCCCTGCCCAGGACAGGTGAGGGCAGCTGGGCACCTGGCATACTCCCCACCTGTCTGCAAAGTGGACTTTGAGACACTGCACAGCCCACAGGGCCCTCCATGGGGCACACCCTTTGTTTTCTCCAAGGGTGAGGTGGTGATGTGTGTGTGTGTGTGTGTGTGTGTGTGTGTGTGTGCGCGCGCGCGCACGCACGCATGTGGCAAAGCTATAATGCCTGTGACAAGGTGGCAAGGTGGGAGAGAGGAAGGCTGGCGCTGGGAGCCAGGAAGATGGAAAGAAGAAAGGCAAGCAGAGCCATCCACTCTGAGGTCTTCTGAGACCTCCCAGCAGCCTCCAGTCAGTGAAGACAGAGAGGGGCTGGAGAGGAAGGCGGATGAGTGGAGGGAACCAAGAGTAAGGTCCAAGATACACACAACTTTAGGGCAAAGGGACGCACAGGCGAATAAAGTAATCTCTTTTACAAGAGCGCCCTCTGACCTAGATA